TCCAGTCTGGGCGACAGAGTGAGACTCCAACTCAAAAAAAAAAAAAATAGATTCAGCATTCTAAATAGATTTTAGACTAATAATTTTAAAATTTTTTCTGTGTCAATTTGGATGGTTGTATGGTTTTGTTTGTTTGTTTGTTTTTGAGTTGGAGTCTCAGTGTATCACTCAGCCTGGAGTGCAGAGGAACACTCACTCACCACAACCTCGACCTGCTGGGCTTAGGTGATCCTTCTGCCTCAGCCTTCCAAGTAGTTGAAACTACAGTCGTGCACCACTGCACCCAATTAGTTGTTTGATTTATTGTAGAGATGAAGTATTACCAAGTTATCCAGTCTAGGCAGTCCTCTTGCCTCCACCTCCCAAAGTGGAATTACAGGTGTAAGCCATCGCGCCTGGCTGGGTGGTTGTATGTTTTTAAGTAGTTTGTTCAGTTCATTAAGTTGTCAAATTTATTGACATAAATTTGTTCATATATCTTTTATTTTGAATGTGAGTACTGTAACAAATTTTCTCTTTTACAGACCTGATATTAGTAATTTTATTTTCCTTTTTTGATAATCAGTTATTCAGGGGGATATTATTAATATTTTCAGAGAATTAACTTTTGCTTATTCTGATTTCATTAATTGTTTTCTTTTAACCTTATAATTAGTTTCTTTGGCTTTCTTTGGATTCGGTTTACTGATCTTTTTTTATACTCTTGAAATAGTATTATGTTAGGTAATGAATTTTTAGTCTTTGTTTTTTTCTTATTCACTAAGGCAATAAATTTCTTTCTAAACACTGCTTTAGCAACATCTCACAAGTTTATTATTATCCACTTCAAAATATTTCCTCATTTGCACTTTGATTGCTTTGGTCATTGGCTTATTTGAAAGTATAGGGTTCAGTTTTTAAGTATAGTGTTCTGATTTTCTTGTTATCTTTTTGATAATGATTTCTAGTATAATTGTACTATCAAAGACATACTTTGAATAATTCAGTCCTTTGAAATTTATTGAAGCTTGTTTGACATTATAATCAGTTTTGGTAAAGGTTCTGTGTGGATTTGAAATAATCTGTTTCTGGTAATACTAAATAATTAGTTCAACTATATGCCACTTAGGTCAAGTTTGTTAATTGAATTGTTCAAATCTTCTCTGTCCTTGGAGTTTGGTTTCTATTGTTGATGTGTTTGCTTGCTTTTGGTCTGTTTGTGTATTTGCTACTATGAGAGGTATGTTAGCCTTTCATGTGAATTTTCTTTCTCCACCTATTCCTGTGTATTTTTGTTTCATTTATTTAGAATGTATACTATTGAATGGTGCATATTTAGAATTATAAGATATTCCTAGTGAATTTACTTCTTTGTAATTACAAAATGGCCTTTATTTCTAGTCATGCAATTTTGCATTAAGACTCCTTTATCTGGTATTAAGGTAGCTATTCCAGCTTTCTTTTGGTTAGTGTTTCCATGGTGTATCTTCCACATCCTTTTACTTTCAGCTTTCCATATCCATTTGTTTAAGATCTGTCAGCATATAACTATTTTTTTTCTTTTTTGTACTCTGACAATCATAATGTTTTCATTATAATATTTATTTTGTTAACATTTAACTTTTTGCACTCAGATATCCCCTCTAAGGGGGCATTGTAAATCTAGCAAACCACTGAGATATCCTCTCTCAGGGACTGGTGATTATACAGGACAAACTTATGCAGGCACAAATTTTCCAAAATGTACATTTCCTTGAAGTTTTCCATTCAGATTGCATGAAAAAGTAAAGAGATGGAATATATAATGAGATATGATCAGTGAGTAGAAAAATGGTTTTGAGGAATCACAAGTATATCCTTCCACACCTTTTTCAAACAACAGAGTGGATAATAAATTACACATTATTAATGTGAGAGAAAGAAAACAGGACGGCATTGTCTGCTTGAATAGAAAAACTTCAGGTGGAAGATATCAAACAAATTACTATCGCACAACAGGTATAATATCAGTGAGCCTGCAGTACATGTTAGTGATTGTTCGACACATTTCCACACT